CGGGGCTCCGGTCGTGATTTCTGGGATGTCGCATTTCATTTGTTTTGCAACGTCGGATCTCAGGGTCGGGGCAGCTTTAATTCGGGCCTGTCCCTCTACAGGGGGAATATTCTAAAATAGTCAAAAAATCGTCAGGATATTATTTTTGAGTATTGTTGGGCATCTTTTGAGCATTTTAAAATATTCTGAATTTTTCGTCCCCCTGCAGGGGGACAGGCCCGACCCAAGGGCAGCCAGTCTTTTGGGCGCTGGTCACGGGGCCCGCCTGCCTGCGCCGCCAGTGCAGTGCTTGCGGTCGGGGCCGCGAGCACTGCGCCGAGGCAGGTGCTGAGCAGCTCCGCCTGCACGCCCAGCTCTGGCAGCTTCTTTGGGCAGGCTCGCCTCGTTTCGCGTGGCCAGAGGAGGGACGCGTAGCCAAGACACGAGTCCAACTTTACTACAGGAATGGTGGCGACTCGGCTGTCTTCTCATGCATCCACGACGCTGCTTGCTTCAGTTCCCTGGCGTGCTGCAGCCGTCTGACTTCTCCGCCGCGCCAGCACGCTTTCTTCTCTACGGGCGCAAGGTGCGCATACTTCAACCGGCGCATCACAATCATTCAGCGGTTGTTGTTCGTCTGATTCGCGCTCAATGTTGTGCATCGGTTGTACGCGATGGGTGTCAAGTCTTGCAGAGGATGCGCTGTTCGGGGCACTGCCAGGTGACTGCAAGGATGTGAGCGAGATGATTTGTGCGTGGCCAAGCCTGCGAGGCTGTGAAGACATTCATTTCCAGAGATCAGACTGAGCATGCGCCCAGATGCCACGCTGAAAGCTTGTCGCTGGAGTCACGCCGCGCATGCACATCGCGCACTCCTGTGCTGCACCAGGCAAAGCCAGGGCACGCAGCAGGACTTGTGTGTGTGGCCTAGCCAGTGAGGCTCGGATGACGGCCGAAGCCGAGGACTGAGCCAGCATCAAACCAAACGAGAGTTGGCAAGCGCTTTCGGCCTTTCGTCAGGCCATGCCACGCCACGCCATTCTTCACCATGTCACGCCATGCCCTGGCCATCCCATGGCACTGCAATTATGCAGTTTGCGCACGCTTCGCCGTGCCTCATTGCCAGCTACTACACGCAAACTGTGCTACGCTGGACATTGCCGTGCAATTGCGAGGACCGGGTTTATGGTTTGCGCGTGGCCTAGCACACGAGGCTTGAGGACTTGTAATTTTAAAAGCACTCTGAATAAGTATACCGCCTGGTCTGAGAGTTTGTGCCAGTATTGGTTAGGGATCGTATTCGCCGCAACTCAGGAGAGCCAGTCGAATGGGGCCCCGCGGAGCAGGCATGTTGCATTATTCCAGACTGGATTGCCGTGCGTAGCGAGATGGCTTGTGCGACACTTGGCAACTCCCAGTTTTTTCGAGCTACAGTCGGAGCAGACATCTAACGTCCAACGCGGCTTGCGAGGGTTACGACTTCCTGGACTCGCGTCCAATGCCGCGCTGACAGCCACTCGAGGGAGACGCCGTGCAGCCATGTCGCACTGCTCAGGAGGGCTTCTGGGTGATATTGTTAGGATGAGCGGACTGATCCGTGCGTGGCCGAGCCAGCGAGGCCGTGAAGAAAACCGCTGTTCCGATGACAGTCTGAGCAAGCACTGCGTGAGGCATGTGAGTCGACCAGGTATGCGGGCGCGCTGCCTCCATCTCTCGGTATCGTTTAACCGATCCCCATCCCCATCCCCATCCCCTTCGAGACCTCCACCAAATTACCACCCCAGTTGGGGATACACCTCTCGAAACCCGAAGGGAACGCCCCATATCCCCATCTAGGGGGGTAAATCGGCCAGTGGGGCCCAGGCCACGCCGCTGGGGATGGGGATCGATTAAACGATACTCATGTGAGTCGACCAGATCTGCGGGCGCGCTGCTTCCATCTCTGACGTGTGCTTCTCGTGGCGGCATGTACCACATCCCTCGACATCGAGCCCATGTTCTTTCCATCGACGTGGCGACGCCCCCAGATCCCCAATCTCGATGTCGACGCCGACGCTGGCGGCCGCATTTTTCTCGTGGATCCCGCGGGCCGCGCTGCGCGCGTCCATCAACACTGAAGTTCGGGGGCGGGAGGGATCGGATAACACCTTGCGTTTGACTTCGAGAAAATTCGGGGGCGGGGGGGGGGCGGATAAGAACTTGCCTTTGATTTCGAGGAGATGCGGGGGCAGGGGGGGTCGGATAAGAACCTGCGTTTGATTTTGAGGAAACCTGGGGACGAGGGGGGTCGGATAAGAATTTGCGTTTGATTTCGAGGAAAAACTCGGGGGCGAGGCGTCAAATGAGAACTTGCGTTCGATGTCGAGGAGGGTTGTATGTAGGACCAGCAGGGGAGTGCTCCTCTCCACAATCGGAGGCTTGAGGGTCGCGTCGACAGCCGCCCAAGGACCCCGACGCCGTGAGCTTTGTCGCAACGTCGGCCCCCAGGGGTATGGGCCCCTTCCCTGCGACCAGTTTTTCATCGCATCGCATCGCCGGCGGCACGAGAGCTGTCTGAGGTATCACGGAGCGCCTTCACGCCTCGTGGCAACCATCTGGACGCCTGCTGTTGAAGGCTGTGGCCGAAAAAAATGGATGCCATCATGGTGAAATCCACGAGTTTACGCTAAGGCCGAGGGGCTCTGCAGCAGCACTCGGGATGCCGCGTGGCCAGCGCCCTCGTCCCCCGAGCGGCTCGCGGCCTGCATCGGTGGGAGAGGGCCTCGAGGCAGCCACACCATCACTTAAGGAGTTGACCCTTGGGCGGCGCACTCGAAACCCCTTGGGCGGCGCCAGTTTTTCATCCTGAGTCGTTTTGACGGTCGCGGGGTCGTGACCCAGACACCATGCGGCGTCCTGATTTTTTCCATGCGGGGCTCTTAGAAGTCCCGACCCTTTGCCCGGGGACGGCTTTTTCATCCCGAGTCGTTTTGTTGACGGCCCCGAGGCTTGGCGAGGGCCCCCCGAGGCCGAAAACGGCCAAATATACCTGCCGCCCTGATTTTTTTAACGGCGCGAGCATGTCTGGGAAGGGCCCCCAGAGGCTGAAAATATCGAAAAACCTCTCGTTGTGATTCTTGCTCGCTGGGCGCGGGGGTCTGGTTTCTGGGCCCACGGGCCCCAGAAATAACAGGACTCTGGAGGCCCGTCTTTCGGGACTTGGGTCAAGTCGGGCGTGTCCCTCTACAGGAGGAATTTCAAAACAGTAAGCAACAAACATAGTATGTGAACATTTTTTCTGTTATTTTTGTATGTGTTTGAGCATTTGCTTGAGTATGAGGACATGCCCGACCTAAGCCTTGGGGCCATGTATTGGGACGGTCCCGCAGGGCAAAGACCGGTGGACCGGGACGGGGCCACTCGCCCGATGGCCTACGTCACGAACACGACGTCGGATGTTTGGGGTATCCCTCTCCTCCACGTCCTTCATCCTTCTCCTCCTTCTCCCTCCTCCTCCTCCTCCTCCTCCTCCTCCCTCCTTATCCTCCTTCTCCTACCGCCCCTCCCTCCTCACACCTTCCCCAAATACCAAGCTCAAGGCCCGTCAAGGCCAAGGCCCAAGACCCTTAGGAGAAGCAGGAGGAGGAGGAGGAGGAGGGGGAGGAGGAGGAGGAGGAGGAGGAGGAGGAGGAGGAGGAGGAGGACGACCCCCCCTCGCGTTGTGAAACATCACGGCGGGAGGTTGTTGGCCGTATTCGGCCTCGGGGGGCCCTCGCCGGGCCTCGGGACCGTCAACAAACGATTCAACCCAGGAGGAAAGGCCGGTCCCGCTGGA